TAGAAACTGGTGGTTTTTATGATGTTCCCAAGTCCTAACCATTATGGGACTGGTTTTCAATCATTGCACTTTCCATATATACTCAGTTCTCTGTCATATTCATAAACTAATGTAATAGACAGAAAGTGTCTTGATAACAGAAATCATATTTCTGTATTCCTCACAGTGCCCAGCACAGTACAAGGCACGTAATAGGTATGCATCTTGGTTGATTAACTTTCATTCTTGCAGGAAAGGCAGCTGAAAACAATTCCAATGAACTTCTCAGCCCTACATTTTAGCATAGGCTCATATATAACCAGCACCATTCCCCTCCCCTGTATCTTTGGATGGGGTGGTTACTTGGAAATGGCCATTGAGATTCACTTTCGTTAGGTGATGGGTATGGTGAAGTGATTAGTTGCAGCAAGCAAGCATCAAAGAGAAAACCAAAGGAAAACAGGAGAGTTCTCACATGTGCTTCCTAAGAGTCAAAGAAGGCTCTTTCACTTCTGGGCTATTTTCTGCTTTTTGATTCAGAAGCACCAGTTCATGATTGAGGCCATCTGGATGGAAATCTAGACAAGGGGCAATTTATTATAGTAGAGTCATCTCTAGACTGGATTTAAGAAGCCTGGATTCTATCCTGTGTTCTCTCCATCTCAGTTTCCTCTTATGAGAAATAAAGGGGTTGAGTTAGATGTTTCCTAAGGCCCTTCATAGCTCTAAATCTTTGAGCTTTGGGACTCTTTCCTCAAAGAAAAAAGTAATAGGTACCAAATGCCTTGTTTCCATTAATATGAGCAGCAGAGGAGTTTGGGGTGGGGAGAGGAAGGGCAGGAGGATGGGAAGGGTCACTGGTCACTTCCAGAGAGGAGACGCCAGGAAACTGACTTCTACAACACAGACATCATTCAATTAAAATAACCAGAATGGGTTTTCCATATGTTAGTATCATAATCACCATTTAATTTTAACAGTAGTAACTTTACAATATATACAATATTATGTGAATAATACACTCATATGTGTATTAACATGTATATTATATACATGTGTACACTAGCATATTCACAGGATAAGTGCATTTGATTACTTCTGCTTGTTATCAGTGATAAATCTATTTTATTCTAATACAATTTGATGCTAACACAGTACAGTGTAAAGGGACAAATCAAAGGGCAAAAGAGAGTCAGCAGCTGGGTGACATGTTAAAACACAGGACCTTCGAAAATCTTACAATCCTGCTCCAAAGAAATGAAAAGGGACTGTTTGGGAAGGAATAGCAGTTTTGTGTTTGTTTTCTGTTAAAAAATATAAATAAATAAAAACTATACTGGAAAGAGAAAGACTTTTATATATAAAATTTTGCTTTGTTTTGAACAGGCTCGAATACATTTGAGTTATACCAACTTTCCTTTACGTTGAAGTAAAGCTATTTCTGTGTGTCTTGCTATCACTGAGAGATAGTCTGTCCATAGTAAAGCCAAGTGTACAACTTGCCAGAACAGCTCCAAGCTTCTGTAAGCCTGGGTATCTGTAATGAGCTTATACACTAATAAGCCACCAGAAACAGACTCAGTGCTAACAAGTACTCTCAACTCTCTTGAAGGATATTTAAGTTTTCGAAATTAGTATTTATTTAGGTCTGGCACCACAAGGGATTCCAACATAAGGTATTTATTTCTATGACAACCCAGTTATGAAAGCTGTATATTTTAGTTTTAAAGGAGATAAATTTTTAATCATCACTTAATTAATTCTAACACTTTTGTTTTTCATTAGCATTTTCAGCTTGCAAAGAATTCAGGGCATTTGTCATTTCCAGAGAAAGATGCAGAATATTAAATACACATCAGTGTAGACATACCAAATTGAGTAAACAATGCTCAAGTGCATGTCTGCTGTGTATCTTTTGACTAATTAAACGCCCACACTGTCATTCTCTTTTAAGCCAAAATATTTCATTTGTAAACAAGACTATATATATATTTTTTTCCAGAGTTAACTCTGAATTGACTCAGCAGCAACAGGGTTCAAGTTTTTATTTTGTTTTCTTGTTGGTTTTATTTTTTTGTTTGTTTTATTTTTCTCTGTCTTCTGGCTGCCATTCTCATCAGAAGAGGAAAACCATGACTCTGGAGTCAAATTGCAGAGTAAAAGTAAGATAAATCAAATATAATCCATGAAATTTCATTCATAGTGCTGGCTCGTCCTAGTAATGGTAACGATCTTAATTTTTTTTAAAGATTGCATTCTTTAATAACAAACAAACAAACAAACTGCAGTGGGGTTTACAACAGGGCTGAAGTACAGTAGTGAGATGATGGAGATGAGGAGCTTCTCTGCTCAGAGCTGAGCTCTGGACCCTAGGAAGCTTCATTCCCAGGACACTGAAGTCTCAACTAACTAGGGATCCCTAGCAGCCTAACACCATGACTTTTGCTTCCAAAAGGTCCAGCCTGTTTTTAGGTAGGAGTCTATGAACTGGGAGAATATGTTGCTTTACATGTTGCATTTTAATGTATGCCATGCATCTGTCATGGTTCATACACAGTAACCTGATCATTTGACAATGACACATGCCTGTCTGAAAACAGTCTGACAGGTTCTGTCCAAGGGTTGGCAATTACTTAGGGTCATTCAAAATCATTATGACATTCAGCTAAGCCACTGAAATTAAGCAGAGTAAACAAACTCCTGCTCAAACATAACAGGTTCACCTGCCTTCTCAGGTCTTTCAAAGTTGTCAAAGTAGAATTTTCAAGGACCTAATATTTCACAGCTCCACCCAAAAACCTTCATGCTTTTGTTCATTCTGCTTCACAACATTCTTCTTTCAAAGTATGGACACTAGGGTCAATGTGGAATGGTCTTATGTTATTCTTTGCATCTAAAATAATACACCAAGCCAAATGAACTGGTTTTTGAACATGAGTCATAACATAAACCATACGCACAATGACTTTGAAAAAACTCATACATTTTTAGAGGTAGTATGGTGTAGGAATGAAAACTACGTCCACGGTGAAGTGAGAATCAGGAGATCCAGTCCAAACTCTTCCACTTACTACCTGGGTGACCATGAGCAAGTCACCTCTCTCATCTGGACCAAAGCTTCCTCAATTGCAAAATGAGGAAGGCTTCTCGATCCCTAACATTTATGACTCTCTAATTCTCTATTTCTTGCTTTCTTTAAAAATCACTTATAGGGGCAGCTAGGTGGCACAGTGGATAAAGCTCCGGCTTGGAGTCAGGAGAACCTGAGTTCAAATCTGGCCTCAGACATTTAACACTTATTTAGCTGTGTGACCCTGGACTTAACCCCAATTGCCTCACCAAAAAGCAAAAACTAAGAAAAAAAAGCACTTATAATTCTAAAAGTTTTTTACCTAAATCCATATCTACCTTCACCCACAAACAGAAGCTACTTCCTAGTTTCTTGATAGAAGAATGACATTTATAGCAGACATGATGTGGTTTATTTGTTTGGACTATAATAGTTAACCCAATGTAATTTCCATGCTCCTTGTTACATGTGGCAGCTGCTTAAGTTTTTAGGACACATAGAAAGAGTACACAAAACATGGCTAGAGCAGGAACACGTCATTTATCCACAATTCTCAATCATCCACTTAGTGGCTCTGGGCTCAAACATTTTCATTCTCAGAAGAGAGAAAGGGGACAGACAATAGGAGGAATGAAATGTAGGGACTATAGCATTGGAGGTACAATAAGTTAGTGAGTAACCAATGTTCTCATATAAGCAAGGCAAAAAGCTCTCAAAAGATTTCTGTACAAAGTAATAAGGTCAAAAAGGGGTGCTAAGCAACCCTAGGGCACAGCAAATTGGGATAATAGTCTTAGGCCTCCCCATTATTATGGGGAACCAGGCAGCTGGGATATGACTGAGGAAACAGAAGAGGAGGCAGCATTGACAAAAAAATACAATAAGCATCAGCATATAGCATCCCAACCGGAGTACCTTTCTTTCCCTCTCATACAAGGCATCGTAGGTGAGGTCCCCTCATTCTTCCCACATGGGCGGTCCAAAAATTACAATAAGCATCAGTATGTAATATCCCAACCACAGTACCTTCTTTTCCCCCTCATACAACAAGGCATCATAGGTGAGACCTCCTCATCCTTCCCACATAGGCAGTCATACATACATACACAAATACATACATACATACATACATACATACATACATACATACATACACCCTGCCCCCAGCTTGGGGTTGAAGTTGATCTTAACCAGATTTCATCTGGATAAAAATGTGAAGGTGAATGAGAGGTCTTGTACTTCCTAGGGATGGCCCTCTGTGCAGTAATTTTTTTTCTGCCTTCATCACATGAAGCTCTCCTAAAACCCTGAAGCCTCAAGGTGTAAAGTGCCATAGGGATTTTAAGGGATATTAGATCCCAATAGAAGACCAGGGAAATGGCTGAAGAGGATATGTAACCTCTGCTCCCACCTCCACTCACACCACTTTCACCACCAAAGACTGCTCTGTCTTTTAGAGAAGGTCTAAAGCCTCTCAGATCATTGCCTAGAGGAATGAATGGGAAAGTAGGAGAGCTACTTATATGCAAAGACTTCCCTTGTTTTTCTAAGAAAGAGAAACAGCAATGAGGAGAAATTCAGGGAGGGAAACTGAGGCAGTGGGATCCTCATTTGTAAAATGAGGAAGTTGGACTAGAATGACCTTTATGGTCCCTTCCAGCTAGGAAATTCTACAATTCTACTTTGGCTGTAAGCACAGAGGGATTCTGGGTCATTCAAGGCAACTTTCCAGAGCATATCAGGTAAGAGCAGGGGTACCTCAGAACACAAATGGTTAGGGCAGGATCCCAAATTCTTTCAGGATTTAAAATAAATGTGTCTGTGGGCTGGAATTTTACTTATATCATACTAACATATATATATATATATATATATATATATATATATATATATATATATATATATATAATATATATATATATATGTGTGTGTGTGTGTGTGTGTGTGTATGTGTGTGTGTGTGTGTGTATATATATAGTTTTTAACCATTGGAGGCGGGTCTAATAAAGTGCATATTTGGGATTTGGGTGACACACCAGTCCTTTCATCCACTTTCATTTTGGTGTGATTTATTAAAGAATATTCTTTTTTTTTTCTTTTCAACATGTCTTCTGGAATAAAAAATAAATGACTAGTGGATTTAGAAAGAAAAAAATGATTCAATATCTCAAGGAGACATAGAAGAATAGGTTGGCATCAGTGAGGCTAATGTGTCTGAGATGACAGACCACTTGTCCTACCATAGTTTCTCTATGACTATCAGGATATAGATATTCAATTCATGGGTACATGTATCTACTAGACATGTACGGAGGGTTCTGATTTGGGAATCGGGGGGAAGGTGGTGGAGGTGGAAATTACAATTCCACAGAGCAATACGATCAATGTAAAATTGTGTCAGCCTTCAGCAAACAGATGGCATCCTTCTCCTTCTTGATGGCATGAAACATATGGCTGTTGGTTCATGACATAGCATTGACAACTTGGATAACAATACATAGTTAATTAGATGCCACCAGGACCACTTGGTGAAAAATGAGTTACAGTTACTTTTGGAGTGAAGGGGTAAGAGATACTATACAGCCCTGAGTAGTCACCAGAAGGGAGGAGATGCAAACTTACGTACACACGAGGCTTCATGATAAATAAATAGTGAGGTCCACTGTGTCACAGATGTAAGATCCACATATTGACATCTAAAAAAAATACATATTTTAGGTTATGCAGCTGTGAATTCTGACTGCACAGCAAACTGTTGAGCTCTTAAGTTAGCATTAAGTGCCTGTGAAACCCAACAAAAGAAAGCATTTGACCCGCATAAACCAACAGCCGAAGGGGTTCCTACGGATTCCTCACCAGGAACAGCTGGGGCCTATTATTCCAGATGCGTCTCCATATCTTGATGACAGCCTAGACTGAAGGTAGCCTCGGATGTGCGGACATACCGATTCTTTCCAGGGCCCTGAGTTCTGGGGTCTGGTTTGGGCTGTGACTGAAAGCACAATAAATAAAGCTGAAACTACTAGCTACGGGCCAAACTTTCTCATTTTTTCGTGCATGTCAATCCCTTCACAGTGCAAATGCATTCTTAATTTTTTTTTTATCTGTGTCAAATTACATGCATACCATATTGCTTATTCTACATTAGAAAACTGTTCAACAACTCCAGTGACGGAAAAACAAAAAAAGCTCTTAATTGAATTTAGAATATGGGAAATCATAAAATAGGCCTGCTAAGATGGCAAAACATTTAAGCCAACATCCACAGGGGATGCACCCAGAAGACTTGCCCTTTTTTTCTTCCTTTTTGGTCAAGGGCTCACCTATCCCTCCTCTACCACATCCAGTGCACACTTCACAGAAGGAAACGGGGTGCTTCTGTGGTACAGCTTGGCTTAAGGACATATGTAAAACAGCCATTGCAAATGCCCCATAACCCTCATTTTCTCTATGGGGTCCCTGACAGAAATCTAGCTCCTTAACTTCCAAGATGTTGGCAGATATGTTTCCCTATAACAAACTGAGAAAGGGAGATTTAAACATCAGATTCAATGCTAGGCATTTTCTTATACACACGTCTATTGCTGCAGGAGTTGAGGACCCTGGGGGTAGAGTATACAATATTATTATTTGCCACATAAGGCATCACATGCTCGGGAATGTATGTGTCGTTGTGGCCCCGGCTGTCCCTGGAACAGTATGATGACGCTGTTGATCTTAGAGACGACCTCAAGTAGTTGTCATTCCTCACTTGGGAGGGCAATGAATGTTTATAAGAGTCAGAGGGGCATCTCCCAATGACCAGCCGCTGGTCATCCTGGTAGGAGTGTAGGAAGGGGTTATCTGAGGAGTGGTCTGGGAAGAGAGATTTGCTCCTTTTATTGTCTTCCAGTGCTTGAGATAAAAGGGAGCCCTTGTTCCCCGACAGTTTGCTGGAGGGGACACTAAATAAGCTCCCATACAAATTCCCTTCCAAGAGTCTCTCCTTCTCCTTTAAGCTTATGCTCCGAGAGGGTCTTCCGAGGTCAGTCTCCCTGGGCTTGTCCAGAATGTTGTCATAGGAATGTTGCCGGCTAATCCTCAACTTATTCTTCTTCTGGAATTGAAGGGCATTGTTCTGAACCCAGTCCTGTTCATATGTCTCCTCAGGGTGGGCAGGGTTGGTTGTGGTTTCCTGCAGCATCTGGTCCTCATCAATATCATAGAGGTTACCCATCCTCAGGCAGGAATCACATTTGTAGGGGGATCGGGTGGTGTAATGCCCAGTGTAGTTGGGCAGGTTGGAGAGACAGCTCCTACAGTGGGTAGAATTCTGTCGGTACCTGTCACTCCCTTCACTGTGGGGAGAGCTCTTTTCCTTCAAGGTGTAATGCTTGGAAAAGAGTTTGTACTGGTCATTGTTGGGGACGTTGCCATCTTCATTGTGCAAAGGAGTCCTGTTAACAGAAAGTGTAGCATCCCCCTTTTGATAGTTGTCATTGGGATCCTGATACACCTCAGGAAAGTCCACATTCTCAGGAAGGACGAGGTTTTCAATAAACTGGGGTTGTTCTATGTGGAAACTGGGCTCCTTTTCGGCATCAATGGTATAGATCTTGTCCCTGGGGGAACTTGCTTTGGTTTTCAGGTAGGTGAGCTCAACATCACTGCAGTCCTTGGGGTATTTGGAGGCCACAGACCTTTTCTTAAAATTGTCCTTGGTCTTGTGATGTTTGTTGTTGTTCTCAAGCTCCATGTGGCACGTGGCCCGGCTTGAAGTTTCTGAGATGTCAGAGTGGGCCACCTCTTCAGGAAGGTACCTGGGACTCTTCAGAGAGTGGGTTCTGTTCTCCACCAAGCCATTCTCCCGCTGTTGAGGAACTGGGTTTTGGCTCAGTGAATCTTGGCGCAAGGACTCCATGGACTTTTTCCAAAGTTGCCGGGGTCTAGAGTTCCCTTTGGACTCTGTGCTCACAGCAACCTCCACTGTATTAGGATTGGACTCATTTAAGGTGAGAGGATGCTGCCCCTGGAAAACATAGTTATTGAGGTTGTCTTTATGCCTGTTGGCCACAAATGTCTGAAGTTCATTCATGTTGTCCCCAAAAACATTGTCTTTTCCATGAAAAGATCTGTTATCAGAGTATATCAAATTCCCTTTATCTGGGACCATATCCATGATGAGGGAGCCTCTTTGGATATAATCAGTTGTTCTTTTGGGGGAATTAATTCTGGAGGAGTTCAGGTTGGACATGTTAGAAATGTTTTTGGCTGACCGTAAGAGTTTTAACATGTTGCTCTGGGAGCCAGTCAAATTAAAATCTGGTGACTTCTTTTTCTCCTCAATATGCACTCCATGAATGCAGCTGTAAATGCCCTGTAAGTGAAAGAAAGTAAATCATTAGCAGTAGAAGAAGATTTGGGATCATTTCACAAAATTTACAATAAAGGTGTTTTCTACTTTACAGATGTACAAAATTGAGGTACTCCCTTGCCTCAACAGCTTCTCTTATGAGAAAAGCAAAGTCTTACTCTGAATATTGTACTTGTACCCAGTTAAAACTTTCTTTAAATGGCTTATGAAGCCATCTGAACACCAGATCCATCTATCTGTGATTGTCCAATGTATTTTCAAATAGGCACACATGACCAACCAGTCACAGATAAATAGTTAATTTATGTGCTGGGGGCAGTGTGGGGTGGGAGAGGGAGGAAATAGGAGGTGATGGCATCATACATACATACTTAGGATGGATTAAGCACTCCCAACTTGTCAGGTAGGGATATTACCTCACTGTCCCATTACTCACTGTTGAATTGAGTCTCCAACCAACTCCAGAGATGGCTATTTACCCAAGATACAAGGGCGCTCTCTCTCTCTCTCTCTCTCTCTCTCTCTCTCTCTCTCTCTCTCTCTCTCTCTCTCTCTCTCTCTCTCGTTTTGAGGCAATTGGGGTTAAGTGACTTGCCCAGGGTCACACAGATAGCAAGTGTCAAGTGTTTGGTCTGAGGCTGGATTTGAACTCAGGTCTTCTTGACTTCAGGGCTGGTGCTCTATCTACTGAGCCACCTAGCTGCCCCAAGGGCTTTCTTAATAATACTTTGTTCTCCCACTAAGTCCAAATGTGGAAGGGGAAAACATTACTGAGCGATTACTACACACACACACCACACACACACACACACACACACACACACACACACACACATCAGTATATTGGTATAATATATACATATATATGCACATACATATATCAATATATTAACATTACATACGTGTATCTATATACAAATATATCCAATTGTTTGTATGTGTGCATGTGTGTGTGTGTGTGTGTGTGTGTGTGTGTGTGTGTGTGTCTCCTATCCTATCTTCCATTCCATGCCTCTGTACACATAATCAGTCATGTCTGGGATATATTACTTTCTCACCTTTTAGATTGTGGAATCCCTGGCTTCCTTCAAAGCACAGTTCAAAAAGTACCTTTTACATCGGGCCTCTTCTGATCTCTATTCCCAACCCAGTTATTAGTACTGCCTCTCCCTCTTAAAATTACTTTCTCTTACATCGGCCCTTGCACCATTCAGTCACCCTATAAATTTGATACCTGCCTGAGGGCAGGATAGGTGAGCTCTAGGCCATTAACAAGAATTAGATTATTTACTTTTATTTGTTTACTTGTGTACAATGGCTTTTTCACCTAGCAAAATGTACCTTCTGGAGGGCAGGCTTTGTGTGTGTGATTGCATCACCAGTGCCTTGCCTATAGTAGGCCCTTAATGCATATTTGTTGAATTAAAGTGAATTGCAAATAAATTTGGAAAACTGTAAAGTTCCTTTATAACTCCCACTTAAATACTTTGCCTGTAGGTCTTTTGCTCTTCCAAAAAATTCAATTTTCCCTAAGCTTAGGCACAGTAAACAGAACTGGTGTGTTACGGAGAGAGGAATAAATCTTACTACTCAGTTTTTGAGAGGAAAAAAACTATCTGAGATGGACAAACAAGAGTGAACAATTCATTCTGCACAAGTCAAGAAAAAGGGGGTACAAATAACACTGTGTATAAGGCAACCCCCACTGCTGTTTTTTTCTGCCAGAAACTGTGTGAATTATTCTTATTTAAAAAAACAAAAACAAAAACACAGAACTAGAGCTAGCAGAGGCCTTAGGAGCCACCTAATCTCTCATTCTCTTGCTAGGGAACTGAGACACATAGAGGTCAAGTGACTTGTCCACTGTCACACAGTCAGTAAATACCAGATTTATCTGATAATAATCAGATAATAAATCAAGTAATCAGAGTTAAATCTGATCCTAGGTGCTTTAACTTTAGACCCCTATAACATGTGGTTCTGCTTGATCCTAAGCTTCTTGAGGGAAGGAACAGTATCTCACCCATCTTGGTATCCTCTTTGGCACCTGCCATGGTGTTTTATACATGGGAAGAGCTCAATAAATACTTACTAAATTGAACTGGTCTTTCTGAAGCTCAATAGGGTGAAATCTAGGAGGGCTTTTAGAAATGAGCTTTCCTTTCTTCTGAATTAGACATCTTTTAAATAAGATCCTGTCTTGGAAAGAATGTGTCGACAACACCACACTTGCTGGACCATCAATGCATCACATATGGAAAGTGGTTTAATTTGTATAAATGCTTACAGATTTGTGGTTAACTTTGCCTCCTTTCCAATATCCCACTTTCTATCCCTTCTTGAAGAACATTAGCTCTACTCTCATTACCTGAAGTGGTAGCAGAGAGGAATTTGAGAAGCCAGAAATGTCCTCCCTAAATATAAAAATCAATAGGTTCTAATGAGTCCAAAGCCCTTCCATAAATGTCTTTCTCCATGCCAAAGCTTATCAATTAATATTCCCCAGACTAAAGGAATTGTACTATTCACAATGGCTATACTTTTCCACATCCTTACCTTCCATAAATACTGGGCTAGGGGATATATCCCATCTCTCACCCTACCTCCTTTCAAACTGACTGCTTTTCTATTGTTATCCAAATTCAAATTTAGGTTCAGTGGAAGAATTTCTGGTACAACTTTAGGAAAAGAGAAATAGAAAAAAAAATCAGCTGATAGGATAGAGCAATTTTCCAGGGAGGGAAGGAGGGAGCATCAAATCTGAATTTATAGCAAACTCCTGGGGAAGAATCAAGCCTTCCCAGTGCACATCAAGCACTTACTCTGCTGTAACTTACAGTCTTAGAGACTTGCCTGGAAATCAAGTGAATTGCCCAGGCTCATAGAGCCAGTATTGGTCAGAGGCAAGACTTGAACTCAGGTTTTTTGACCCCAAGACCAGATCTATCCAGCATTCCATGTAGCCTTTCTATAAATATGGTATATCTATATGTAAGAAGCGGTATGATTTGTTGAATAAAAGACTAGTTTTGGAAGACCTAGATTTTATTATTCCTGCCTTTGTCACTTTTCAGTTGTGTGATCATAGAGAAGTCATCTAATCTCTTAGTGCCCCAAGTATGTCTTAAGATTATAGGTTGGAAATGAGTTGTCAATATTCATCAGTGGAAGATATTTTCACACTGAGTTCCTCATATCAATAATATCACAGGTTGGAACAAACAAAAACCATATAATATATGTAAATGTATAATATGTGAAATATTATATGTGATATATGTTACACATATATTATGCACACAGCCATGGAATGGAGTAAAGTTAATTGGCTTATATTGGGATTGAACCCATGACCTCTGAGCCAAAGACTCTTGAATATCTTTCTTTTCACATTATCTTACCACATTATCATACGTGAAGACTTTTAGGTAAAAGAAAATGAAACATACACATACTCCTGCAAAATAGATGCTTGATATGGAATGTCACTTTCATTCCTTGGTGAGATTATCTATAAAAGCTATAATTTCATAAAACTATTTCAGAGGCAAAGCCTTTGTGCTGGGATTTCTTTCCTCCCCTTAGTGTTATCAGTTTCTTCTTCCATTTGTATAATTCATAGACTCCTGCTATATTCCTTTGGTACATGTAATAAGATGCTCTGGTAATCATGGGAAGGAGCTTTGCAGTAAGCTAGAGGTAATCAAAAATGAGCAACAAAAACCCAATATGGTGTTCCTCTTTGACCAACTCTCCCCATCCATATGGACCAGGCAGTTTTGTACTACTTTCTCTTTGTTGTATGTACTGTTTTGAGTGATCATGGATCCTCCAAAGCCAAGCCTAGATGTCCATAGAATCTATTAATTCTATACATGTGGATTGAACATAAGGCCCTGCTCCTTAGAATTGATCTTATCAAACATATTTTTCTAACCAAGGCCTTCTTTATCTCTTATTTATTCTTTGTCATCTCATATAGACTGGGCAATTTGGGAATATGCTATTGTTTTTGTGAGGTATGGGGTAGTAGTATTATTTTTAGTAACCGAAGCCTGCTCCTTCACCAAAACAAGATGCTGACTGTATTTAAATCAACATTTGAATTTTGTTCTAGTTCTCTCTCCTTATGCAGTGAAAAAAAAATCAGTCACACAGAAGGTTAACACAATGGCTATTCTGAGATTGTGACTATAATATATGACTTGGGGAACACATTTCAGTTTAGAGACATTTATTCAGAATGCCCATGGTGCCTAAGAGCTACCATGTAGAATTACACAAATCTATTCTCCCAGAATGGCAATGAAAGCCTATTTGCTACGAGTTCAGCATGTATAATGGAGAAAGGAAGAGAAAGGAAGAAAGAGCGGTTCATTGTAGTCCCAGTCAAAATGCAGATATTTGTATGGGCAAGAGAAAGCAGCATCCACTGGAGATGCCCACCAGGGTATTTGAGATAAAATACCTATTCAGGGAAAAGAGTGAATCCCTAACCAATGAAATAAAATGGGAAGGAAAGGAGCCTAATAGTAGCGGATCTCAAACTATCCTACAAAAGTATAATCATCAATTTGGTACTGGGTAAGAAATAGAGAGGTTGATCAGTAGAAAAGATCAGAATCACAATGTATGGAAGCAAATAAGCACAGCAACCCAGTATTTGATAAAGCCAAAGATCCCAACCCTTGGGGCAAGTACTCATTATTTGAAAAAAACTGTTGGAAAAATTAGGAAGTAGTCCAGCAGAAATTAGGCACACACAAACAGTTCACACTATATACCAAGATAAGCTCAAAATGGGTATATGATTTAGACAAAAAATGATACCATAAGCTTATTAATAGAGTGTAGAAGAAATTACTTGTCAGATCTATGGATAGGGGAAGAGTTTATAACCAAAAAAGAAATAAAGAAGTTTACAAGAAGTAAAAGGAATAATTTTAATTAAATACAATTTAAAAGTTTTATGTACAAAAAACAAAACAAAACAAAGCAGCTAAAATTAGAAGAAAAGCAGGAAACTAAGAAAAAAATTTTGCATTAAGTTTTTCTGGTAAAGTTCTCATTTCTAAAATACATAGGGAACTGAGTCAAATTTACAAGTCTAAGATCTCTTCTCCAATTGATAAATGGCTAACAAATATGAAGAAATCTAAGCTATCGATATCTACATGAAAAAAACCCCTCTAAATTGCTAAAATTAAATAAATGCAAATTAAAACAATTCTGAGGTACCAATTCATACCCATTAGGTATGCTTCTGGAAAGCAATATGACTAAAAAGTTATTAAACTGTGCATTTCCTTTCAAAGAAATAGGTAAGGAAGCCTTACGTACAAATATTTGTAGCAGCTCTTCTGTGGCAAAAAAAGGGAAGTGGGGAGATGCCTACCCAATGGGGAATTGCTGAGCAAGTTATGGTATATAAATGTTAAGGAATACTATAGTGCTTTACGAAATAATGAAGGGGGTAGCCTCATAGAAATCTGGGAAGACATGTATGAACTGATACAAAGTGAACTGAGCAGAACCAGGAGAAAATTTATACAATAACAGCAATATTATAAAGATGATCAACTTTGAAAGGCTTAGTAACACAATGACCCACCATAATTTCAATGAACTTATAATGAAACATGTTATTTACCTCCAGATAGAGAAATGAACTCTGAGTGCAGCTTAAAGCATCTCTCTCTCTCTCTCTCTCTCTCTCTCTCTCTCTCTCTCTCTCTCTCTCTGGGGGGGGTGGTGTACGTGTGCACAAGCACGTTGGGATATAACTAATGTGGAAATTTGTTTTGCATGACTACATTTTTTGTAATGGGCTTTGTTTTTCTTGACTTTTCAATAAGGGAAGAATGGGAGAAGGAGGGAGAAAATTTGGAAGTGAAAATAAAATTATATTAGATTTTAAAATGCATACCACAGAGAGAGAAAAAAAAGTTTGTGGGGGGGGGGAGTGAACATCTAGCCATTCTACCAAAACCTGAGGGATAAACCCAAATTTCCAATGTCAGAACTCAGCCTCATGGTCACTTTACACATATTCTTCAAGGCTTCAATTTTGCTTTCTACAACAGGAAAAAATTGCCATCCAGAAATTATTAATACATTAGATTAAAGATATTTCAGGGTTTTCATCAGAAAATCCCTATGAAAATTCTTTGCTAAAAATAATAAATGTTGGAGGGGATATGGGAAAATTGGGACACTAATGCACTGTTATTGGAATTGTGAACTGATCCAACCTTTCTGGAGCACAATTCTAATATGTCCAAAGAGCTATAAATCTGCACATACCCTTTGACTTAGCAATAGCACTAGTAGGTCTGCATCCCAAAGAGATTTTTAAAAAAAAAAGGAAAAGGACCTATTTGTACAAAAATATTTATAGCAGCTCTTTTTGTGGTGACAAAGGATTGGAAATTGAGGAGATGCCCATCAATTGAGGAATGGCTCAACAAATTGTGGAATATGATTGTAATGGAATACTATTGTGCTATAAGAAATCAGTAGGGTGCTTTCAGAAAAAGCTGGAAATTATTACATGAACTGATGTAAACTGAAGTAAGCAGAACCAGGAGAACATTGTATACAATAACAGCAATATTGTATAATGATCAGTTGTGAATGACTTAGCTATTCTCAGAAATACAGCAATCCAAGACAATTCCAAAGGACTCATGAAAAAATGCTATCCACCTCCAGAGGAAAAAACTGATGCAGCCTGAATGCAGATTGAAGCATACTATTTTTCACTTTATTGGGTTTTTTTTGGGGGTGTCTGTATTTTCTTTCACAACATGGCTAATATAGAAATATGTTTTGCATGACTGCACATGTATAGCCTATATGTAATTGCTTTCTTTTTAAGGGGTGGGGAGGGTGAGGGAGGACGGGAAAGAATTCCAAACTCAAAGTTTAACAATTAAAAAAATTTTCTTATATGTAATTGGGGAAAATAATTTTCAAAAAATGGAAAATTATTTGCTATAGCAGAAGGCTTTCTAGGTTAGGGGAAAGCATACAAGGAGAAAAGCAGATGATGTAAAAACAATAGCCATCAATAAAAATCTGTTTTTAAAAAAGAAAATTACTGCAAAAGGTTTCTTTAAATCCCTAGGTCGAGGTGGTGGCTATGGTTGTGTGTATGTACATTATGTGTATATACATATGTATATGTATATTCATATATATGTTATATGAGAATGCATTTGGGGATACATTATGTATTGATGCATATATGCCAAATTATTGTTTATTGAAGTAATTGAATAGAATTGTATTTGCATATAGCTGAATGTGCTTGTGACTGCAAATTCTGTCAATGGAAGCATCTGATAACTTCACAATGGGCCAGCAACCTCTACATTTAGAAGACTCTGGAAACACTTGGCTAGTGGGGAGTGAGGACCTAGGATGGTGTGCATAGAGTCATTCTCAAGTTTCAGAGTGCTGTGAAATTCATCTGCATATAAAATCAAATTTGGGGCACTGTGGCTTTTCCAAATTTAATCTATAAAAAGCACGATTCTATGAAGAAAGAATGATGTCTGAGAGCAGGCCAACTTTGAAAGTGGTTGATTCACTATCTTTTGGTCATTGTGTTATTACATAGATATTTTCAAACATTTTTCAGAATTTAAAAAGTTTTGGATTTAAAAAGTCAAGAAAGAAGATAATTCTATTAAATAGGACACTTTCTCTCTTTTACAAATGGGCCTGTTCTTAGAAGAAGTTAAGGTCAAGAGATTGTTTGAAGGTGACTTCCCCTATGTGTCTGATCAGTAAGTTAGCAAAGGAATTGAAGTCTCCTCATGGCTACTACTATAAGAGATAAGATATGGGCTATACATAATGATTCCTGAGAAAGTATTATGGGCCAAAGGACAGGCAAGAAGCATTAGTGAATGAATTCATGTGTACTTGGAAAAGCTCAAGGAAATGAAAAGACTAGGCAGGACTATGATAAATTGGGGGAAGAAGAGGGGGAAGATTTCATTTGTTTCTCTAATGATTACCTATCAACTTTGCCTCCTTAAAGACTTCCCTGTGCTATTAGATAATGGAAATGTATTGCCAAAAACAAACAAGATCGATGAGAAAATGTGGCAAGGTGCATTTACTTATGATAATTCCTCCCTCATTTAGCTACGAAAACCACTTAGTAATTGGTTGAGAGAATTATCTTAAATTTGGCATAGTACCTAACCATATGCACACATGGTATTATTTTTAAGCAATATGTGTATTTAGATGGCATCAAACTAATTAGGAAATATGTATTTGCACAGTACCCAGCTTTAGAGTATAATAATATAGGGGGAAAGAATCATCCTCTGGAAGACTTGACAGGAAGCTAATGTTTGTTTGTCCCTGGAATATCTTATGTTCTTAAAAATTCCAAATGTTATTAACACACCAATTTTCTTTTAAGAAGCCAATTTGGTTTACTCAATAAATATCTCTTTAGCTGGGAAGCAATGTTATAACAAAGTTTTCCACTTTGTTCTTCATTCTTGCCTGCTATAAAGGTGTCTAGACCACATATTTGCTTAGGGGAACATGTGTGGAGAGAGAGAAAGAAAAAGAGAAAGAGAGAGAGAGAGAGAGAGAGAGAGAGAGAGAGAGAGAGAGAGAGAGAGAGAGAGAGAGAGAGAGAGAATGATATACATGTGTGTTGTGTTGTGTGGATGCATAAATTCACAACACAGGGCAGGTGCTATATGTTATAATGAGAAGAACATTGAACATGAAGTTAGAAAACCTGGATTTGAGTCCTAGTTCTATCATTAAGTGTGTGTCCTTGGATGAAAGTCACTTTACCTTTAACTAGCCCTCATTTATAAAATTGGGATGATCCATTCACCAGCTCCTTCATATGACTGTTGTATAGATCAAAAGAGATAATATACAGGCTGTCCCAAAAGTCTTAGTGTATTTACTAGGCTTAGGTAGCTTAAAACTGCATTAAGACCCTATATGTTTAAGTGTCTTCTAATCACATATACTTCAAGTATCTATGATTTTTTCAGTGTGTGGGCATTCATTCCACCAATAAAGATAGCAGATAAAAACTGCTCTATAATTAGGTAGATGGATTTGAGAGTTGCTGTAACTATGACCCACATGGTGATGAGCCTCTCAACACACTTACCTGATCCCCAGATGACAAACACATATGCCTAATCTTGGGGTCATTACTCAAAACCTTTTCACTTTTATAGGTCCAACCAGAATGTGTGCTCTTCTGATCTAGCCTCTGAGAATGCAGGGTTATCTCTCTGCTACTATATAAATGTTAGTAACTTTTTGCATTCATGTAAAAAATATGATCTATAAATCTTCCAGAATGCCTAACAAAGAGTCAGAGTGAGACTGCTTTAAAGGGTATGGGGGGACAGGCAGAGATAGGGAGTGTGGAGTACAAATAATATTAGAATGGAGTGAAATGATGTTAAGTCTTGCTTAGTTTTGGTTTATCTGTTAAAAAAGGAAGTGAACTAAAATTTTACTGACCCTGCTGATGGAGAACAACAGTCCTGGCCTGTCTGTGCACACTCCAGTGAAGCAAAACCTGAGTTTCCAGTAAAATAAATGTTCCCAGACAAAGGTGATGAGGCTGAGTGCCATGGCAGCAGCAAGCATGTAGAACACTCCTGCCATGTTGTCAATGTCCAGCTGGCTGCTCATCACCTCATTCTTCTCATTGTGGCAGATTCCCGTCAACCAGAGTGTCTCCAGCTCCTCCATCTCTCCTAAAGGGACCAACATATTGTTTAGTGAGGATGAGGAGAAACTTCTGTTCATTCCTTCTCTTCTTCCCCAACAAATACCTAGGACAATACAAAGTGGCAAGTTGGCTCCATTTAAAAAGATTGTCACTCAATGAATTTTTTAAAAAAGTTTATGATGCACCCACTATATGCCAGGCACTGTGTATGTGCTAGAGATACAAACACAAAAAAGAAAATAAAATTTGAACAGTCACTGACCATGATGTTCTTCTACTACATTCCATTTTGCACTTAAAAACATGAACTCATAAGGAAAAACCTCAAATTCCTCCAAAATGCCTCATCCCCAAACTAATCACTTCCCCAGCTCAAGGTGAAATTCAAGAAACTTGTAATGATCCCGAAGTTGTCTTGTGTTGTAGTGAGCACTAAGTGATTAAAAGTGTGAGAGGCAAGACTTTGTGTCCAAGTTTTCCTAACTCTAAGACTAGTTCTTTATCCATATGTCATGCTGCCTCTCACTGCTTTGCGTGCAGAAGGACTTGAATAAAAGATTTTTGTTTGTTTTTTTAAGTTGAATTACCATTCGAGAATATTTTCCCCCATTTAAAAATCTTCAGCAACAAAGAAGATTGGTAGTTTAGCTGTAGCACTGACTCGGGTGTATTAAATGGAGAGTTGCTCTAACCCCTACTTCAATTCTGCTGTCAATGCAATTTTCTCTTGACCCCTCTCCAACCTCCTGTAATACAAGATTCCTCTCAAGTCATTTGCCTGTCTAGCTTTGCACATATACAGAGGCGATTGTCTATGGGGACCCTGTGTTGTTGTTTCATTAGCCACAACACCTAACAGATTTCTGCAGTCTGCCACCCTCCACGTGCCTTGCTGTGTATGTTTTTTGCTTCTTTGCCTTGTAACAACACCAGCTGCCATCCTTTAAAAATATCATGTGCTGCTCATTTTCCCCCTTTACAGTGTTGTAAGGACATGGGAATGTTCTTCTGGCAAGTCTGCCATAGTTACAGAAGTCTTCAATGTTCTTTATTTTGTATGAGTAGATTGCATGTGTGTGTGTTTGTATGTGTGCATTATGTATGTATATACAACATATGTAGTCAGAAACAAGAACCCAGGCCTTCCTTTTGCCAAGATTAGGCTTTTATCCACTATGCCCTACTGACTCTCACATAAAACCTAGTAGACAGTTAATACATGTTTATTAAGTTTAATTGAATCTCTGATACTGGATTTAGGAGGGTCCAGGAAAGGAACTGCATACTTACCCCCCAGGCCTAGTTTCAAGTGTCTTTTCTTTGACTCATGGAATCTGGAGCTACTGGCATGACCTATCACCCACCTTCCTAACTTCCCTAGATTTCATTTTCCTTACCCATAAAAATAAATGAAAAATCTCTGACATGCCTTCCAGTTCTATTCTTAGGAATATATGATCTCCAGTTCTTAAAATAGCTTGCATTTGATTAAACAAAGAAACATTGGAAGAAGTATTTTATTTGCCCTTTTCCCAAGGAAGTATTGGTCTCTTTATGTAGCCAGTAAGACAACTCACTAAAACTCAGCCAAGATTGTAGATTTTCCACAGCTCTTATTATTATATAATTCACTTGGTAATGTAGTATAGTGCTTTGTGACATCACTCCTACTGCAACCTTGAACTGGTATTCAAATCTTTGATAGTAAACTTGTAGAGGGAAGAGACTGAGTTCTATATTATCTTTGCATGCATTCCCCCAAAGAATCTTGTATACAATAAATAAACAAACAAATAAATAAATAAACAGACAGACAGACAGACAGATAGATAGATAGATACATAGATACATAGATAGATAGATAGATGATAGATACATAGATAGATAGATAGATAGATAGATAGATAGATAGATAAATGTTGATTTGACTTCTCTTTCAACCCATTAAAAAACAGTAAAATTTGGCAGATAGAGAGCCAGCTTCTGAGCTGAGAAGATCTGGATTTGATTCCTATTTCTAACATATAGAATAAGTCACTTTAGCTTTCAGTACTATAGGGCTAGAGGTATTGAGAAACACAACACTCCCAGTAGGTCTGAATCAGATTAAAATATAATTAGGAAATATTTAACAAAACAAATAAAAATGTGATGCAACACAGAGAGTGTTAATTTGTGGTTTTCTAAGTTAATATGCTCCCCTTAGGAATCCGTTTCTATTTGAGTTTGACACCATTACTCTAGGCAACGCTCAGAGACGATACATTTCAGAGAAGAAATTGGCCTGCATTAGTAAAGACAGTCTCCACATCTGTAGTTCTTTATCCCAATGTAATCACAGGATAACTCCCTATTCTTCCAGCCATTACAAGATTTTAAATTGGGAAGGAATGGAAGATTTTCAGTTCTGGAATGTTTCTACTCCCCACTCTAATATACAACAGGGAGAAAGAATGAAAGGGATTTTTTATGAGACTGAAAACAAGACAAAGAAAGCTAGGCATTTTTCATGAGTGAGGAATCAAGTATCTTTTTAAAACACAACCATCTAAAGCTTGGCCAACTGACAGTTTTCTGACTTGTCAAAGGAAAAAAACTTTGAAGGATGATTCAATCTCTGCCCCACAGCACACTCATATTCTCTTTGGTGCTTAGAAAAACACAAACTAAATAGTCTCTTGCAGGCAGAGGAGCGGTAGGATGGTCTGCGCCTGGGGCATGCTCCTTCCGCCGAGCTGAAAGACCACCAAACAGTTGGAATCTTTCCACCAGCCAGGACCACGATTTTATTGAAGAAGAATCTACATGTATGTCAGTCAGAGGAAGCCTGTGTTCTCACTGCATTGCTGCTGAGAGGATAGCTCAGGTCTACCTGCCTGGCATTGTATGCCATCTTGTTTCAATTCAGCCTAGGAAAAGAGGCAGGACTCCAGGGGAGAAAAAAGGAACAACAGAGAAACAGTAGTATTCTTCTCCCAGAATGTACTTAAGCATGGCCTCTACCTTGCTCTCAGATCAAAAGGCACTGACAGAATGCCCACAAAAATTATCCAGTCTATGGTTGACATTGTCAGGCACTCTAGCCTTTTTTACATTTAGAGTGGGGAAAGTCTACTTGTGAGGAAGAAATGGTTTGAAAAGAAAGGGGGATACCTTTTAGTTGTACTTAAAGGAAAATTTCATATTAGGTGAAATTAGCATTGGGATGTACTACTGAGGAAGGTTTTACTCAGCCAACAGACCACTGTTACACTATGTGGTGCTTCTCTGAGTTTGGGGTTGGGGGGGGGAAGGGGAGGAGGGCTGTACCAGGAGATAGAATGAGGAGGCAGTATGGTACACTGAGAAGAGCTCTGAACTTTCCTGTCAAACAGAATCATGACACCTGAGTTCAAATCCCACTTATTGTCTATGTGGATTTAAGCAAATCACTTAACCTCTTTGGGCCTCAGTTTACCCAGCTTTCAAATGAAGAGGTTGGACTAAATGGCTTCTAAGGTCCCTTTCAACACTAGCTCTATGGTCCCATCATCCAATGCATGAATGATAAGTTAGTCACAGAGGTATGACTCAATCCTGGTCTCTGGGCTTCTAGTCTTTCCAGTACAGTGGACTGGGTCATAACAGGCCCCTTCTAACTCTATTAATATAATGTGTTTATCCTACCCAAAGGAAAGGCCTAACATAGTGAGAATTTTCCTTGATATCTGAAATATCAAAAACCAGTTCATGATTTTTCTTTAGGTTTTTTTTTCTCAATATTTTCTAAAGGGCTAGAGGAACTCTCCCATTTTTCAAATTGCATTTAGTTCTAGCATATAGCATGCCAGAGAGCTAAGGGGATTGCTTCTGGAAAGAATTTTTATATCATCCAATGCAACTGGCCTTTAGACTTTCATAGCCTTTTTCCCCCAAGGCATTTCTTGAAAAATCCATTATGAATCTGTACCCTTTAGGCCTCTTTAAGTGACAGAGATCTCTATGGCATACATGCTGAAAGAAATACACACACACACACACACACACACACACACACACACACACACACACACACACATGTATACATTTTGTTCTACCAACACAGATCACAGCCTCTCTATGACTTAGTAAATAGGTAGCCTTGCTGAGCTCCTACAGATGAAAAATTCATACCCAGGGCCAATGTGGTAATGAGTGAGTATTCTTGAAATGATAATATCAGAAAAGACAGAACCAATGGACTGAGAAGTAACATCTAACATTTATCTCTTTCTCATATTTGGGAAAACCAAAACTTAGGTTCTCTCAGGACTCTGTTTTATGTATGTGTATATATATAAATACACACACACACACACATACATACACGTATATATATTTGTGAACTGTAATGTAGTAAACAAATGGGAGATATTTGTATTCTCTAGCTAACAATTTGGTACACTTATGCTTAGACATGATAAAAATAATAATAGTAATAGTAATAGTAATAATTATATGGACTAATACCATCATTCAATTACAAAAAAGTAGCTGTTTATCTACCTTGCAATAGTCTATAAAACATTAAGTGAAAAAGGATAATAGTAGGATAGCAACTTGTCTTAGGATCATTTCTACCAGAATCCTTTGAAAAAAAATAAGAATGATATGAATAATGCTGCTGATGATGGTAACGATGAAAACTCAAATTCAAGGTTTGCAAAGTGCATTATATACATTCACATTTTATACAATAACCACTGGAAGTAGTGCTATTTTTTCCATTTTACAGATTGAGAAACTGAGCCATAAAGAGATTAAATGACTTCCCAGGGGCATACAACTGGTAGGTAATAGCTTGAGAAAGCCAGAGGTCTAGAACTCAAAGGGATGCAGAGGCCACCTAATTCAACCCTTTCATTTTGCAGATGAAACCAAGAGAGTTTAAGTCTTACCTGAGGACAAACAGTAAACATCAGAGGATCTGAAGTAAGATTTCAACTCAAGTCTTACAGACTCCAAACCTAGTATTTTAATCACTATACCACGCTTTCTTTCAAACTG